GAGCCCTCTCCGAGGGACCGTCCACAGCCGCCTCCACCAGGCACGCGGCTCTTGAAAGATGCTGTAGAGGTTTATTTCTTCCCCGTCCCCTTCTGTACAGCTCCAGCTCGCACGCTGGTGTGTTTAAGCAAGCTGGGGACTAGCGCAGTTTGCGGAGTGTTTCAGTGCATCCTCTGTGTCACTTGATAACAGGGTTTAAGATGACAGAAGGAGCCTCTCTGTAATCTGACAAGCGCTCCGCTCTTGCCAGCCCCCAAAAACCGTCTGACGGCGAGCGGGGGGTTTCAGCCAGCATTGCCTGCCGCCTCCCATTATTTGCTCTCCAAAAAGGAAGTTTTTAGAGGGTTTTGTTTTTCCAGGTTTTCCTCTAACGCTAGCAATGCTGAGCTGCTCTGGGGTTTTTTTTTGGTGTGTATATTTTTCTTTTTTCTTCTTGTTTTTCCTAATGCCACGGCACAGGTGAGGCACCACACCCCTGCTAATCCAGGAGCCCCCTCTGCAGTATTTGGTTGCATTTGGGCACTTATGTTTCCCCACCAAAGCACTCCCTGAGAAGCGCAGTGCGTCTGTTACAGATTGTATTGGTTTGGGTGCACTCTGCAGCACGCTTAGACAGACATTTCAGTTCAGGTTTCAAATACACACAAATACATTTTCTCTTACTTCCTTACAGAAGACTCCCTCTGCCCCGAGGCCGGGCGGCACGCCGGCTCCCCGGGGTTCATGCCGGAGCGGCACCGCTGGGCTCCTGCCGCTGCCGGGGACCTGCCCTGCCCTCACGCCAGCCAAAATCACAGGCACGAAATAACCCATCCCCGGGAGCGTGGTGAACGCAGGGCCTGGCTAGGACCAGAGCCGTGGCCATCTGCATCCATCTACTGACCACTAGTGACTTCAGCAAACACGGGGCTTGGGGTTTTCCTAACCAGATCAGCTTAGAAAGTGGTTTGTTAACTGGACGCATGTCCGTGGCAGGAATACTCCTCAGGTCGTTTAAGAGTATCATATGAGTTAGGCTTAAAGACCAACTCTGGTTTAACTACATATGTTTTAAGACAACCTTGGAATGATAATGAAGCGGGGCTGTGTGCAGACAAATGATTTTTTGCTTAAATAAAGCTGTGGTTCGTGCTGTGATCGTCATATGTAACTAAACAATGGCACACTGCTGTTATCACTGGGGCTATAAACTGGAAGAGGGCAGGTTTAGATTAAACATGAGGAAGAAATTTTTCACTTTGAGGGTGGTGAGGCACTGGCACAGGTTGCCCAGAGAGGCTGTTGAGGCCCCATCCCTGGAGGTGTTGAAGGCCAGGCTGGAGGTGGCCTCGGGCAACCTGGTCTGGTGGGAGGTGTCCCTGCCCAGGGCAGGGGGGTTGGAACTCGATGATCTTCAAGGTCCCTTCCAACCTAAACCATTCTATGATTATCGGCTATGGATCCCGGCTGCATTTGTTTGAGGGCAATTCAGTCGATATGTGCTTTGACAGGCACTGCAAGTCCCTTTCGAACTCCAGCTGTGAATTCTGCAGCAAACATTGAGGAGGTGTTTGACAGGGTCTGTTTCTGTTTGTGCAGTAACACAGTATTGCTTTCTGGACAGTTAAAATAATGTTTCCCACTATCTGGGGCACTGTGTTTATCAAACAAGCACAGGAAAAGGAACCCGCGCTCCCTGATGGTACAGACTGGCAGTTTCAGAAAAGGTCTCCTACCATGAACTCTTTGGCAGGTTTTTGTAACACCTTTCCTCTTATAGAGCATGTGAAGCAAATAATGGGTTATTTTTTCCCTCAGATAATTAACTGAAAAAGTGAAGCTGAGGTATCTGATGATCACAGAAAATATTTCACTGCAAATGTTGCATGCTCCACCACAACAAATACTGCTTTGAATGTATGACAAGAGCAAAGAAGACGCACCAAATCACAGGATAAAAAGGAGAAACAAACATTTGTTTTTTTCTTTCAGAAGCAGTAGATTTCCCACTTTCTGGTAATATCACGCTGGAAGCAAGACTTAGGTGAGTCACTGCTCAAGGCCAAGCTTAGAAACCAAGTAGAAGGAACCAAGGGATATTGCAAAACCGCTGCCATGGCTGGGTGTTACAGAGGTAAGGGATGATACTTAATTCCTGGCCCGAGCAGCTGGATGCTCCTTTTGGGAGCAGCGCCATGAGCTGTTTCGCAGCCCGTGCCACAGTCTCAGCTCTTGCCTGATCATCCCCTCCCATCCACCGGAGAAGAGCCTTCCTCTTCAGCAGAACTCGTCTTGCTCAAGTCCGTTCTCCCACCCCGTGTGTCCAAGATGCTCCCAAACCCACTGCGGTTGCTCCATGTCGTATTGGAAGTGACTGCCCGTCTCCGTGCTGGCTCTGCAGACCGCGGTTGTCCCCATTGCTGCCGGAGCCCCTCTCCGCGCGCCGGCTGCTCGGGGCTTTGCCTTGGCGAGGCACCATGGTGCCTCATGGTGCACATGGTGCACATGGTGCGAGCAGCACCATGTCCCATTCCAGTTCACGTTTAGCAGCCAGTGCAGGCCAAGAGCGCAGGATGTGAACAGCCACTGTGGAAAAGGCACTGGACTAGGTATTTTTGATGAGAGCAAATGCCCATTAATAGAGGAGTGGAAAAGAACCACCTCCTTTTTTTTCTCCCAAAGATGCCTAAACTCCAGTGTATGACACTTAAGGGTAAATACGCAACGTGAGGTACAGATGGATGAAGAGCAGTGGCTTGCACACGTGAACCTGGGAAACAGTACTAGCGTACCATTTCTCGCAGTTTGAGATATCCTGCACTAACTCGATCTTTGGCAATCATTGCAGTCAAACAGACCCTTTATTTTTAATTTTATCAATCAAATTTATCCTATGGTAAGGACAGAGTGGAAAAAGATTTGGGGACCACCAAAAACTGCCACCAAGTTTTGTAAGATATTTGGATTTTACAACTCCTGTGGATGAAAACTTCTGTATATCCACAGTCATGTAGTGACTTGTGATATATGTAGAACTGATGCTGAGTGCGTTTGGCTCTTTTCCACCATGTCACAATGGCTGTAGAGGTGATATCAATTTTCCTGAAAGGCCATCCTCGGTTGTAGAAATGTTTGGCATCACACCACCAGGAGTGATGCGGATCCATAGCGATGTGCATTTTAGGGGAAACACATGTGGGAAGTTTGCTCGTTGGCTGGAGTCAGCTGCAGTCCAGATAAGCGGTGCCGTTTGTCCCTCACTACTCTGAGAATCGCATAGACCTGCAGATGTTAAAAGCGAGAGGTGTCCTTGGAGAAAGCATATAATCAGTAATTAAGGCAATATTTTCAGAAGCTACCTTTTATTTTTAGCTAGCATCAGCAAAGTCACAGCAAATGACAAGAATTTAGTCATGATGGTAAAAACACATACCATGAACTGGTATTTGCAATTTTTCCTTATTCAGAGCTTGTTCCTCAAATTCCTGTTCTAAAGTGGTGGCTTAAGGCACTACTCACGTGACTAAAGGTGACATGAAATACTTTTACGCTCTGAACAGAGACAGCACAACCAAACCTGGCTGCCCTGGCAGCGCTTCCAGAGAACAACAAACCAAGACTCCAGATCAGAGTGTTTGCAGACTTGCGGGTTTAAAGAAACTGGATTTGAACCTGGGCCTCCCAAACATCAGTGCCTGAACTGAGGACCGGAGCCGTGGATAGTGCAAACCCGCAGCCAGATCGGTAACCCCACGTAGGGACTGCACGGGGCCCGTCTCCGCCGGGACACTTGCACTGCGGAGGTGCTGTACAACGCAGGCACATCGACAACAGCGAGTGCCATTATGAGACTCTCAGACCATTCTGTGTGACAAAAGCCACCAAAAGAATGGGATCGGTGTGTTTAAATATGTCAAGATGTGTTTGACAAAGTCTAGGGGATAAAATGTAATGATACGATCTTAAAATATGCATGACACTAATGTCGCCGAAGCCAGGGGTCCCAGCACCCGTGCGGTGTGCCAGCGTAACTTGTGAGAAGCTCTGAAGCATTTTTATCTGCTGGTGGCGGGAAGGAAAAGAGCTGACAAACACTGCCGGTCCTCGGAGCGTGTCCTTGGATCCCACACGAGGTCTGATAAACCTGTCATGGGAGGCGTCTCGGAGTGCAAGTGTGAAGTGTGAAGGTGTCAGAGTAGTTGAGCCTTGCCTTTGGTGAGCAACACAGCTGGATGCGTGGAGAGTAACTCAGGAACCAGCCGGTACAAAGATTTAAGTAGATGTATTAACAAATACGGGGCAGCGTATGGCATTACTATCCAACTTTATTGCTGTCGCCTAGTTCAGCCTCAGCTTTTAACTGTGGTTGGGTTAGAGAATTGCGTAGAGACAACAGAACTGTGGTTTGCCTGTATTTCCTCACCTCGTCCACGCTAAATCCGACCACGAGCTCGTTTGGAGAGCGCTGTTAATTTTATTTGGACTTAGTTGTAACCGCCCGTCCAACCGGGTGTTCCCGGAGAGGCCGCACACGGAGCGGACGCGGCACAAATAGCGGGTAGGGGAAAGGAAAGGGGGGTCTGTGGGTAGTTTTCCTGCTCCCTCGCTGCGATGCTGCTACAGAACGCCCCCGCCGACCCGCCACCGGGGAGACGGCACCGACACCGAC